TGCGCACGGCTCTAGTACATACACAAAAACCGCACCGAGAACCGGCCATCACAACACAATCCTCATGAATATTCCGATTCGACGTCGCCAGTTCAACTCGCTACCATATGTACTAGAGCATTATAGAGAGCGAGAGCGAGAGAGAAAGAAACCGGACGTAGATTATAAATCTCGGAAAAACGCCGCTGCCCTTATATATTTCAACTTATCCCTTTTTCATTTGCTATTCATTTTGATGTTAATCCAATTTCGAGGCGTACGAGTGCACTGGCCAAGTGCGCACCAAACAGTTTACAAATATACATGTAAATCGCCATTAAACATCAAGACTTTGAATATTTTGCGCCATTTGGTTCAAGTTCAAGACCGATGCAATCCAAAATTCATTTTGAACGTAATCATTTTCATCTCATGGATGCGTACAGTTTTTACGCGATTTCATGCGGCACAACAAACGAATATTTCTAAAAGCCAAATAAAAACTTGCAGAATATACAATATGAGATGCGGGATCATATTTTTGCCGGCACGAAAGATGTGTGATTTTTTGACCTACTCGTGGGCTTCGCTGAAAGCCTAGCTCACCAGGCCTTGTAAGCCGCATGCACATTACGTCAATTGTATAAAGCACATACAGGCATACATACTCGGTATTCGACAATGCAAGAGGAAGAAAAAAAATATAATGTATAGTTCCGAGTGCATGTGGCTGCGCTATTACAAGCATACTACACGGACCTTCCTTTATGTTCCAAGTTACAAGGTCGCGGGCTCTTTCTCTCTCTCTCTCTCTCTCTCTCTCTCTCTCTGTCTTTTCAATTTCTTTCCTTTTCTCTCTGTTGTATGCGCGTGACGAGTACTGTATACGTATACAGATATATTCGCCATTTTTACCATGGCTTACAATATACCCGTTCAATTGTTGAGCTTGTTAGCTCAATATTATCGCAATATGTAAACACAAAGTATACGTTTACATGGTAATAAAGTCTCGCTCTTAGTTTTTCAGGTCATAAAAAAGTAAGTCCAGCTCGTAGTTTTTACATACATGAATTTATGATTTAGATGCGCGGATACAATATTAATATGCCGACTATGTACCTCATTATAGTTTAGTAGCTTTATCGCGCCTCCGGGACTCGTGTGTATAGAGGTACCCAGAGAGATCCGCTTAGAAGGACCATTGAATGCACAAATTGTTTGCACCTTCTATTTTTGACCCTAGAGCCAAAGAGAAGATGCTTCTGACTAGGCCCTATAATGCAGAATATTTTTATATATACCTAAACGGCAGACACGCAGAACGCGGCACAATGCAGCGCTTGTTTGCACATGCAGATTGCTCGAGACTTATGCCGAGCTTATTAACAGATTATAGACTTCGAGGAGGCTCGCTTCGTTTAAAAGTACGTGCGAGCTTACTTTTTTAAGAATAAAGTAGGCCAATTGGACGAATGTGTGCGAATGTTTGAACAAAATTTAGACGCGACGATGACGAGAGAGATAGAGTGAGAGAAGAGGAAAGAGAGAGGCAGCAGACATTGAATTATGACAAGTTTGTTTAGTGCAATGGGCGCGCTTCGGGTATTAAGTTGTTGACTCTGCAGTCATGGATCTCATTGTACTTTCGGCTAGTCTTGTATGTAAAAAATTCGCCATTCTTTAGTGAAATATTAATTTCTAAAGGAATGTAATATAGCGAGCGTATTTAAAAATATCTGATGTATACACACGGGTAGCGAATCATAGACGAGAAAGAGAGATGTTTTTTTTTTTGCGCGGCAAAGTTGCACTCGGTCAAATGATTGCGAATAATGGCTCCAGCGTAACAATCGGGTTCCCGAATAACTATACTCTATAACGTATACACACAAACACTCAGGAACATTCCTGATTCCATCATATGCACCTTTTCTCAGAGAGTAAGAGAGACTATTTCTCATTCATATAGAAAAAAATATGACTATTGCCCCCAAGCAAAAAGTCACGAAAAAAAGTTTAGTGCGAGTGTGTACATAGCTTTGCTTATGCGATTAGTTGATATTTCTCACAACTATGAATTTTTGGGACGTATAATACCACGCTAGAATCGAATTTGGGTGGCAGCGTTTTAATAGGCGAAAATTCATAACGGCTAAATTCTAGTTGCTAAATTCAAGAGAGAGAGAGAGGCGAGAGGGTGCACGTAACTCGGAAAGCGCTATGCCGCTTCAATAGAATGTCGCAATCCGCGGCTTTATTCAGCGATCCCGCTCAGCGCGAGCATGTAAATTCCTCCCTCGTAATAGCCTTGGAGCAAACAAATCGGCTAGACGCGTCTCGTCTACGTAACGCGCTTATGAGTATAATGTACAGCCGCAAAAAGTGTGCAGTAGCGAGCGCACACACACCTTCCGAGAACTGGCCGCGTTATACATGGAGCAAAACTGCCGCCGTCTCGTATGCGTGTATAGCTATACGGATCAGCAGCCAGTGGGCTATTTAGACTCTCGCGTCGCAAGCGCGCCTGCAAAAACACCAAAAAGAGAGAGAGAGAGACGCATCGGTATATATAGTATATAATATAGTGCAGGCGGGCCAGCTGCACCTACTCGAAAATCGTAGGCAGCTTGCATACGCGTAGAGCGCGCTTGTGAGTAACTTAGAAACGAAACGAAACGAAACGCGGGTAGTTTTTTGGTATGTGTACCTATTATACGGGGGTATGGGCGCATAGAAAGCAGCGCACAGATCGCAGCGCGCGACTCGTGCGGCTCTGCAAAAATGACGCTCTGCCGGACGGACGGCTGTCGGCACTCGGCTGCACTCGGCTCCGCAGCAGGATAAGCCTTTAGGCCGCCAACGTGTGCGAATGTGTGCGTCGCCGGTGCAGTCGACCAATGAGAGCCTGCCCACTGGGCCCCGACCACGTGACTCGCGATCGACCAATCTCCGGGCCCGCATCCCTCTCTCGTATGCAGAGCCGCGCGAAAAAATGTACATATAGGCGCTCGTCTGTTCCATGCTATATACGAGCTGATACCGCTGCTGCTACTACTCGTGCAAATGTGCCTACCAACACATGCATACTATACGAAAGCTCTCCAAGTCTCTCGCTCTCTTTCTTTCTAACGTTCTCTTGGCTATACAGCCGTAGTTTGTGCCTATGTGTTTTGCATGTACAGTACAAGGCGGCTAACTCTACGACGACTCGATATCAATATCTAGCGTAGTTGGGCTCGGCCCTATGTTGGGGTAAGCTGCAATAATAGCAACAGTATAGGAGCTAGTGCAAGTGGAGCCCCTAAATCGCTACATTCACGATTCGAGCTGTTGCAGAATTAAACGCCTCATGGTATACATTGTACACTTACGTAGGGCAGACGGATGGAGAGAGAGAGAGAGAGAGAGAGAGAGAAAACTGCGGCGCTAGACAAAGACGCCAGTGGACCGGGGACTCGGGGCTGGCGTATGTGTGCGTGTGTGCGCGCGCGAAACGAGTTTGCATCGTTCGGCGGCGAATTTCGCTGAACTGCGGCAGCCAACGTGCAGCGGCGCGCTGCAGAGCTTAGTTAGGCCATCGGCGGTAGCAGCAACAGCAGAAGAAGAGCCGACTCTTTCTCGCTCGCATACACGCACACTTACACACTCGTACACCGACACGCACACTCTCGTGGCCAAGGAGGCGGTGGGTAGGTAATAGTCTTGGCCTCGCTCGAGATCCGCGACGAGCAGCAGTCGGACGCAGCGCGAGACAGCGAGCACCTCCGTCGTCGTCAACTCTGCTGGCAACAACAACAACAACAACAACAGCAATCACAACAACAACAACAACAATAACAACAACAACAACAACAACATCAACAACATCAACAACAGCAACAACAATAACATCAACAAACGCAGTCATCGTAGCCGACGAATTTCAAGTCTTCGGATGCATTCACGTGTCGTGCTATCGTTTTATTAGAATTGTTAAACATCCCTTATCATCGATCGTCATTCGTGTGTTTAATTTGAGTGCTTCATAAAAATTACACGGACTTGCATCGAATTTGTTAGACCGATAAAGAGAGCACGCTTCGGATCGCATGCAGTGCACGTGTTGTTGTGTTGTCCTCTTGTCAGAGGACTCGAATGGTCTTGGCGCGCCTGCAGCGTCAGCAGCGATTCAAACTGGAGTCGCGACGATTTGCCGAGTCGACGTCAAGGTGCATCGGCGCTGCTGCTCATCGGGACGTGCGTAGAACAGTCGACGATCGGCCAACGACAGCTCGTCATCGGCTGTAGCAGCGCAAAGAAACGAGAGACGATCGGCATATATGTATAAACCAACCAAGAGACATAACAGTAGTAGCAGCAGCAGCAGCAGCAGAGAACCAAACCAAAGAAACATTGTGCGCGATCGGCCTTGTTGTTGTTTTTCAGTTACGTGCAAACGTCGTTCAAGTGCCTCTTCGATTGAAATACATCGAGCCATACGTATACGCAAAAAGTAAAGCCGAGCAGTAGTGCGCGCCGTACAAAAGTTGGTTATAAGCGAGAAAAACAAAAATTGGGTACGCGCTGTAAATGCCGATTTGGTCGGAACATAAGGGGGGTGCAGCATCGCAGTTACCGCGACCTAACGCCTACATTGACAATCTCGCGATCCGGGTCCACGACTCTTTTCTTGCCGAGTGATCGAAATCGGCTTAATAGCTCTTGCCGGAGACATAACCGTCGCAACAACGACGACAACAACGACGACGACGACGACTGCGGCACCGAAGGCCCCCCGCAGCAGAAGAAAAAGAAAGCTGGCCCTCAAGACGACGAAGCTCGAGGAGCTGCAGCCGGCGGCCGGCCCCGGGGCACCGCCGCCGCACCTCAAGGCGAAGCAGCAGCAGCAGCAGCAGCAACAAAAGGAGGCTAGCAGCAACATGGCAGCCACGAGCACGGGCAGCACCAGCGCCGGCTCGACGAGCACGAGTCAAGCCAGCTCGGCCGTCACGCCGCCGATCGGTGGCTCGGTCGTCGCCATGTCCAAGCTCTACGTCGGCAATCTGCCGGCCGAGTGCAACGAGCCGGCCCTCCGACAGCTGTTTCAGGATCACGGCCTCGCTTGCACGACGATCCTGGTGAAGCGCGGAGGATACGCCTTCGTCGATTGCTGCGACCAGTCGACCGCCGATCGGGCCATCGACAAGCTCAATGGTGAGACAGACAGACACTATCTGCACTCGGAGCTTATTGCAACACACCCGCTTATGCACATGCGAGTTCAAAAGCTCGCTTTGATTATAAAAGCTTAATTGCAATTTATGCGCACGCTTACACACACCCGCCACTGCCACCCACGCATAGCCACGGGACCAGCAGGAGGACCACTGCACCAATCGGCGAGGCCCACTCGATCCAGTGACCATTCACGCTACGTCGATCCCACGCTTACGCTTATTAACACGCTTTTTATTTTATTTTTTGCTTTTCTCCACAAACGCTTTTTGTTTGGCTGCTTTTTTTTTATTTTCCCTTTTCAGTGGAAGCCCAATTCCTGTTTGACCCGTCCCTTAACCAGATCCTGACTTTTTGACACCTGCTTATATTATTTTGCTTTCTTCCTCCTCCGGCACCCCTTTGTTACAGGTGATGGAGATCAGCATCATGATGATGATTATGAGCTTCCGTCAAGATAATGGCAATTGACCTGAGAGCTTTTAATTTTTAATTAGCTTGTAAGGCCTATTATCTAAGTTCTGCTTGCATTCGATGCTTTTTTCAAGCTTTGCTTATTGATCATTATGCAATTACCAAAATTAACCATTTTATTATTTCATTTTAACAATTGCAAAAATCTGCAAATAAAAGATCTCATCTTGTACAATTTAGTTATAAACCATCGCCCGGAATCGCCATTTAAGTTGTTGTTGACCGGTGGTTTCAAATTTGAATTATTTTTGGTAAAAACAATGCTTTACTAATAACGAAGGAAAAATTTGAATCCATTGACTCCGATTATCGAAAAAAAGTCGCGCTGCTCGAGAGCTCATATGCAGGCTCGAAATAGCGTGGTCCAGTCACCCAGAGAAGCAAAATTAAATTCAGAGCAACCTGACTAGGCGCGCGCGGTGTTCGCTCTGTGCGACTGTGTCTGCATATAATTCGTTCAGGGTCAGACCGTCTATGCACACATGATACGCTAGAAAAAGAGAATTTAAAAAATCTGATCCATCCGGTTCTCGCGCGACCATTTCTAAGGTTGCATCTCGGTATATATTTACGTATATCCCATCGGATAGTGAGAGAACGAGAGAAGCCCGCGAGACCATGAAGCATTAGATCAAATTGAGAGCCACTGCTTGTTGGCGTGGCCTCGAAAGAGCTGCATTGTTTCCGCCAAAAAAAGGAGCAAAAAAAGAGAAATAAAATAAAATTCAGTCAGTGCGCTATACGTGCGGCTATACAGGCATCCAGGCGTGCACTCTTGGATGATGCGTGCGCGAGCCCGACAATAGAGAGAAGCGGGCGAACGAGAGAAGCAAAAGAGAAGCTCGACGTGATCACGCTAAAACTCGCTCATGCTCTCTCTCTCTCTCAACGCGCTTTGCGCGTTTTTCAATCGGGCGTTTTATGCGCTGCATCCATACCCTTATACATACGGCATTTCAGGCCTTTACCGCGCTAGAGTAACTGCATCCTTGAAATTAAGTATATACTTTTTTATTGCCCACGATTTCAGGGGGTGCATTCGAATTTTCATGTAGAGATTGTCTACTGATCGAACCGATTCTAACCGATCTTCGAAAAATGTATCGTTGACTTGGTAGCTATTTCCTCTATTTATCACTCTTATCACCTGGGGCAAATTTCTTTGCAAGTCAGATAGCAGACCGACCTTGGAAGACTAATTCTCGTCAGTCTCAACTAAGTTTGCCTCCTTGTAAAATTATCGTCACGTCATACGCGTTCGTGTAACAATGTCGAATAAATCCAGTGCTAAGCCTAAGTCAAAGCTTCTCTCTCATTCTGCACTTCTACATAATGTACATCGCTAGACTTTTCCGAGTTACACATGCCAAGTCGTTGTAGTCGTCTCTCTTTTTTTCTTGCTTCCGATGGTATATACTTGTATATAAATTCCACTGTATAAACGTCCGTGCAAGTGTATATGAGTGTGTCTAAGAGTGTATGTGTCTGTCCGTGTGTGTGTACGCGCAAAAAAGCATATCGGTATATGAACGTAAAAATATGAAGGCACAGAGCTCATGCATATTAAACGAGATTGAAAAACAGTAAAAGAAAGAGACGAAAGAGAGAGAGAGAGAGAGACAGAAAGAAAGACGGGCGTCTAAGAAACTCGTTTTGGTGGCAGCATATATAGGTATATTATATACTTGCACTGTATAAAAGTTCATTCTTTCCTCTCTCTCTTTCTCTCTCCTCTCTTTTTCTATGCTGCCTAGGTTGATGGGGAAGCACGTGGTTTTACTGCGCGCTCATGAGTCCCACGCGCGCGGGTTACACATACACGCTCAGGCATATACTCACATCGAGGCGCACGTTTACTTATATTTACTTAAACGAAAATGTACATTTTACATGTAGTCTCTGATCGCAATACTTATGTGTTATGTGTATACCTATGTTAGTAAGCGATACTTAGGCTATTAAGCATTACGGCAGATATCGACTTTAATTTTCGATAAAAATCGACTTAAATAAGAGATTATGGTTCGTTTTTCGTACTTAATTCATTTTGCAATCGTCAATGTTGTGTGTGTTTGAACGTATTTGGTTTCATTGGGATAATGTATGCAGAAATCGTCTTTTACCCCGATAAAACATTGGATTCAAAATTTCCTTCGTTAAATTACCAAAAATAATTGTGAAAGCCTTAATAACGCGATGATATTTTTACCAATGCTAGCGATATCTATACATAGTTTTGGAAAAAAGCATTGCCAACTACAAAAAAGAATTATGTTAGTTTTAATTAAATTAATCTAAATAGAGAATTCCAAATCGAAAATTACTAACAGAAAGAAGCAAGTGGCAAATCCACTTTATTATATTTATTGTTACATTAGAGCAATATAAATATCAGAATATGCTGTAATATATGAAATAAAAGAAAGATATATGTTATTTATAAGATTGCACGAAAACCATTTACTTCTTTCCTTCCCTGCATAGATTTATAAAAACAAGCTCATATTATGGTTATAGTGTTATATAACAAAAGCTTGTCTCCTTGCTTCATCATGTAATATCCTCACAAAAAACGTTTTAGCAAAAAAAAATATCGCAACTTCCTACTTGCATGTAATAATTAAGAATAGGAGCGCCGGCACGCTTCTGGTATGCAATAAAGGTGAAAGACGGTTCTTGGTGAAAGATTGGTATAAAGTTTTTATTCTTGCTTATGGCTAAGTATTATTATCAAGTTAATATAATAAATACATAATTCAACTTTATATTATTAATTTATAACATACCCTTTTTACAAAATCTACTTATTAATAACTCAAAGTCATCATACATTTTATTATTTATTTGTGTATATGTAACATTAAGTGCAACAAAACAAGTGAAAAAAATTGAGCACCCTATATCCGATCGATATTTCGAGGGCCCTGTATAAAAATCATTTCCTCCCTCCGCGCGCTCGGTTTTCTGCCAGGGGAGCTGCGTTAGTAAAAACTAGTTTGGTCAGTTTTGTAGAGCGTTTTGCACGGAAGAAAGGTTCCTCTATATTCCAGTTGAATACATAGAGTATTAGATGGAGGTATAAGTTAGTCCCTGCACATCCACACACGCACGCACTGCCACATAGCGGCAATAACCACTGTGAGTGGGCATGTTCGGTGTGTACACTCACACACTCGCAGTTTCTTTTTGTATGCCTAGGAAAGTGCCTTGACTGCCCTTCCCACGTACCATTCAGAATTTTCGGGCGCACTTACACGCGCATACACCAACACATGCCGAAAACCCATGCGTGGTCGAGAGTTGAATCGAAGTGCGGAATTCGCGCTAACACCGTGACGATTCGCTCTTCTTTCATGACAACGGAGACTAATTTTTTAAGTAAATTTTCAATTAGTTTTCTTTCTAAAAATATAGCTTTAAAACCGCGACACGATGAATCCAATTATTATCTTCATTCACAATAGTTTTTTGGTCATTCTTTAATCCACTATTTCACCGTCAAAACCACGAAATTAATTTCAAAATAAAAGTAACAGTCAAACATATTATTTTAATTTTTGTCTTTTGAACAATAGGCGATTGAATAAGCTAAGTCTACGCGGAAAATATATTCATGTTAAAATTGACCATAAATGGAAGCCGCTATTTAAGTTTTTATCGATAGTGCCAGGCATGCACCCAGGGTTTCAAGCCTTCAGAAAATAGGAGAATTACATTTCATTCGGTTATAAATCTGTATTACTAGTCCTTCCATCAAAAATAGATGCATACAAGTAGCGTTACGCGACATGCGATTAAATAGAACGGCAGATGATACCTCACTCGATTGAATAGAAAAGAAGGAGGGTGAACAACGAGTCTAAGCTTCGCTAAAAATTGCTAAAGTTTATTGAATTTATTTAAAAGTTTATCCAGTTATTTCTTCGGGGTGAGTCATTCTGTGATGCATTTTTGTGAATTAAATTTTCCAGAAATGAATTATGTTTTTTCAAACGCAATAATGCATATAGTTTCTCACACATCTACAGGAATCCGAATAGGCATTTGTCCGCAGACGTAAACAACCTTTTTAACGCAGGGTTTTTTCATTGACTTATAAGACGCAGGCAAAGTAAATTCTCCGACGAGAATCCCGAGTGTCACATACCAACTCGGTGGTTAACATTTTTCATTGAATTCAAAGCAAAACTTCTTGGGCATACTTGGATCGCGAGAGCGTTGACACGAGCTTTTGTTTTGCAATTTTCTTGCTATTCCCATCGTGTCCTTTTTATAAACAAAATGTCTCTTACACCAGCGCGAAAGAAGAATATTTAGAAATTCTTTTGGTGTGGCGCACTCACGAATCGTGAATTCTCTGCGAGTTAATTTCAAATGAATAAAAGAACGAAAAAATTAATGCAATAACGAAGAATTAGTTCGAAGTCGCTGAAAGCGAAGCAAATAATTTTACAGAAATTACTCAGCTTTTCTTGTCTTGTAAAATGAGGAAACGCGATAATTGT